TTTGGTAAAAATTCGAATACTTCACCCTCTAGTTCGGGCTTAATGGGACAATCAATTGTTTTTCAACAGGACAATGACCCAACACACCTCCAGGCTGTGTAAGAGCTATTTTAACAAGAAGGGGAGTGATGGAGTGCTGCATCAGATGACCTGGCCTCCACAATCCCCCGACCTCAACCCAATTGAGATGGTTTGGGATGAGTTGGACCGCAGAGTGAAGGAAAAGCAGCCAACAAGTGCTCAGCATATGTGGGAACTCCTTCAAGACTGTTTGAAAAGCATTCCAAGTGAAGCTGGTTGAGAGAATGCCAAGAGTGTTTAAAGCTGTCATCGAGGCAAAGGGTGGCTATTTGAAGAATTTTTACATTTACATTTTACATTTACGTCATTTAGCAGACGCTCTTATCCAGAACGACTTACAAATTGGTGCATTCACCCTATAGCCAGTGGGATAACCAATCTCAATTATAAAATATATTTTTATTTGTTTAACACTTTTTTGGTTACTACATGATTCCATATGTGTTATTTCAAAGTTTTGATGTCTTCACTATTATTCTACAATGTAGAAAATAGTACAAATAAAGAAAATCCCTTGAATGAGTAGGTGTTCTAAAACCTTTGACTGGTAGTTATATCTAAAAAATGTTTTTATGAATATTACTTACAAAATGTAACTAAGGGATCCGTGGAATAGGGTTGAATGGCGGGAACCAGGTTACCGAGATATGCCAACCAAAACCACTCCCTTGGTGAAACCGGTAAAATATAATAAATTATTTATATGTACAGCATCACGTGAAATTGAACTGTTAAATTACATGCAATGTCTAAATCTGGTTTCTCTAAGGCCTTCTCTCTCTCTGGTCACTGCATGATGAATCATATGTAACTCTGGATTCTCTAAGGCCTTCTCTCTCTCTGGTCACTGCATGATGAATCATATGGAACTCTGGATTCTCTAAGGCCTTCTCTCTCTCTGGTCACTGCATGATGAATCATATGGAACTCTGTGTTGTTGTTTTTATCGCACTGCTTTGCTTTATCTTGGCCAGGTCGCAGTTGTAAATGAGAACTTGTTCTCAACTGGCTTCTTACCTGGTTAAATAAAGGTGAAATAAATAAAGTAAATAAATAAAAAATCATCAATGCTCAGGGTGGGGACCGACAGCCCATCTCAGTATGTAGACCTATCATCTCAGTATGTAGACCTATCATCTCAGTATGTAGACCTATCATCTCAGTATGTAGACCTATCATCTCAGTATGTAGACCTATCATCTCAGTATGTAGACCTATCATCTCAGTATGCAGACCTATCATCTCAGTATGCAGACCTATCATCTCAGTATGCAGACCTATCATCTCAGTATGTAGGCCTATCATCTCAGTATGTAGACCTATCATCTCAGTATGTAGACCTATCATCTCAGTATGTAGACCTATCATCTCAGTATGTAGACCTATCATCTCAGTATGTAGACCTATCATCTCAGTATGTAGACCTATCATCTCATATGTAGACCTATCTCAGTATGTAGACCTATCATCTCAGTATGTAGACCTATCATCTCATCACGGTAACAGCCCATCTCAGTATGTAGACCTATCATCTCAGTATGTAGACCTATCATCTCAGTATGTAGACCTATCATCTCAGTATGTAGACCTATCATCTCAGTATGTAGACCTATCATCTCAGTATGTAGACCTATCTCAGTATGTAGACCTATCATCTCAGTATGTAGACCTATCATCTCAGTATGTAGACCTATCATCTCAGTATGTAGACCTATCATCTCATCACGGTAACAGCCCATCTCAGTATGTAGACCTATCATCTCAGAGGTAGACCAATACACATTAGAGGAAATATTATGAAAGATGTCAATCAAATTCACTAGCCTGTACTTGTAACTTTGTAGGCTGCTTGTGCTGGACCAGAATCGCATGTTGTCTCCCTGCTTTATCACGGTTTGAACGAGGTGTGTAATTCAAATCCATATAGTACAGTATAAGACAATACAGTGCAGTAATACAGTTCATACTCCAAAAGATTAGCCTAATGGAGATAGTTTCATTGATTTACCCAAGAGAGCATATAGCTAGCTACATCTATGGGCTTTTATATAGCTAGCTACATCTATGGGCTTTATACAGCTAGCTACATCTATGGGCTTTTATATAGATAGCTACATCTATGGGCTTTATATAGCTAGCTACATCTATGGGCTTTATATAGCTAGCTACATCTATGGTATGGGCTTTTATATAGCTAGCTACATCTATGGGCTTTTATAGAGCTAGCTACATCTATGGGCTTTATATAGCTAGCTACATCTATGGGCTTTATATAGCTAGCTACAGCTATGGGCTTTATATAGCTAGCTACATCTATGGGCTTTATATAGCTAGCTACATCTATGGGCTTTATACAGCTAGCTACATCTATGGGCTTTATATAGCTAGCTACATCTATGGGCTTTATATAGCTAGCTACATCTATGGGCTTTTATAGAGCTAGCTACATCTATGGGCTTTTATATAGCTAGCTACATCTATGGGCTTTATACAGCTAGCTACATCTATGGGCTTTTATATAGATAGCTACATCTATGGGCTTTATATAGCTAGCTACATCTATGGGCTTTATATAGCTAGCTACATCTATGGGCTTTTATATAGCTAGCTACATCTATGGGCTTTTATATAGCTAGCTACATCTATGGGCTTTTATATAGCTAGCTACATCTATGGGCTTTATATAGCTA